AACTTACAACGGCATCGTCTCTCCGGCTGGGATTAAACGCCGCCACCTCTTCTCCGGAACAGTCACTTTTCCCGCCCCTCGAAAGCGGGCGCCGCAAGCATGATACGGGCCTAGCTCAGGCCCTCCAAGAGAGGGTGAAGCTCTTGCTCCCTAGGCCTGGTGGCCGAGGTCTCTGGCAGCGACGGCGTTGGTGGTGGTGGTGGTGCTGCTCTTTCGGCCACCGCTTCTTCTAATTCTTCCTCTCCCCCTCCGGCCTCCTAACATGGCGCCCAGGCGCTACCACAGCAACGTTCTGGAGCGGGGGAAGGAAAGGGAGGGGCAGAAGTCTGGAGGGCAAGTGGGCGTGCTGACGCAATGACGCCTCCCATCCTTTGCGCGGAGAGACGTATGGCGGGGGGAGAACCTTCCGCCTGCGGCCGGGGTGCTCGTTGCTGGCTCGCGAGGGCTACTGGGAAATGTAGTCTGGAGAAAGAATTGAGATGTTTGGAACGGGCTAACGCTCACCGAGTCCACTGCGCATGCGCTGACGGAAGTTGGGAGGGGGTATTCAGCTCTCATTTGTTGTCGCAGATTCCGCAGCTGCAACAAAATGAGAATTCCTGTTCATTTCTCTGGTTTAGGCGAGTGTAATTAATTTGGGATCAGTATAATGTTATGCATTAAAAAAAAACTAAAGTGAGGGAGTTTCTTTTTAACCTGCCTGCATGGAATCCTAAAATAGGATTACAGGTTTTTTTCCCCAGACGAAATCATGGAAGAAAGATCTTTTCTCACCTTTTAGCCCTGATACCTTCATTAGTGATCGTGTGTCTTTAATACCTCGAGAACTAGTACTTCTCTATTCATGACACCCAAAATACCTATAGGAGTTACCGGGGGTGAAACTTGGTCTTAACAGGCGGACAGTGTGCCAAATATTACAAGTGAAACTTGTCCATAAATTGTCAAGTACTGGAGATGTGGGAAAAGTAGAATAAAAAACTATTGGTGGTACAAATACTGCATATCTGCTAGACATGAGATTTATCATACAACATTTGGATTTCCACCTCAGAACTGCTCTTTTCACTATTTTCAAGGTGCCTTGATACTTAAATCTGGGCTTTTAAAATGTTGCTGCTGGTTTTGTTTTCAGTTTATTTCAGCTTATTTTTCTTTAAATCACTGGCTATATTGAGATTTGTTTGCTTTTTATGCTTATTGTCTGAAGAGCTTCAACTACAGAATGCTTTATAAACTGAAAACAAATTTAAACAACAAGCAGGGAGGCAGCTAGCTTCTGAAGGTTTTTAGGAAAGGACATCTGTACTTCCACTTCATTTATTTAAACTATTTAACCTACTTTTCAAGGCGTAGTGCCTATGCAGCCATGGAAATAACTGTAACTTTAAATTCAATACACTCAGGGAAAGTAACTAAATATTTATGTTCTTAAGTTGTATTTCTGAGACAGTAGTAACCTAATAATAATCTTAAAACTGCAGAGCTAAAAGGACCCTGTGGATCAAATCCAGCCACTCTCAAGGAGGCACAGTGGGGAATCCCAACCTACCTAAACCACCAAGCTATCCAGCAATATGAGGTTATATATTATCTCCCATAAGTTCCTAAGGTTATGGGGTAACTATTGAGAAATCCCTATTTCTATTCATTAGTGCGCCCAGAGAGTATCTGTATCACTTGCAAATTCTGAAGTATCTGCACATCTTTCTTTAAAGAGGGTCTAGGTACTAAGCTCACTGATGTGTATAAAGTCACTTGTGGCAATCAAAGCCACGCAAGTTCCAGAGACACTACTGCATCCAGGAGCATTCTGAAATTATATACATGATCCTCCAAGAGGAGAATTTGACCCACCCAGAGTCAAATTTAAATCTCTCTCCATATGGTACTTTCCCAAGCCCACAGGACTTCTACATTAGAACAATTGATGCATTCTAGATTTTGGAAACCCAAGATGATTAAAAAATTCCAGACAAATATTTCTGACCTAGTTGCCTGGATGAACTGCATTTGTTATTCCAAGTAGAGAATTATGCACAATGGAATTTGAAAAGAAATCCCAAAGACAAAACTTAATTTCACATGAAGGATAATAGAGTTAGAATTAGTTTTGAATAGGGAATAGATCCTGCAGTCACAATTCAAAGCTCTCTGAAATCATCTGGCGGGGGCAAGCACAAATTCAGTTTTAGGAATTGGATTGAAAGCAAAGCTGTAAATATTGGCACAATTTAAAATCCTTATTTTGAACACTGAAGTCCTCATTGTCTTAATTAAAAGATGGTATCAAAGCTAGAAAGATTTCTGAATGGAGAAAAGCTAAAGAGCTGTGGTATTCATTACTAGACAGTATATACATACTATATTGGTGAAACAGGATTATCACAACATCTAGAGCTGGGGGGAAATAGATGGAAACTCTCAAGAGTCCTCCTGCCAGTATGCTGGTTGGGGGATTTGAGGAAGTAGAAGTAAATTTTCCAAACTAGCAACTTGCAGGTCAAAACTGAGGACAAAATGCTATAATGTTGTAACCTCATGCATGTTTGCCTAGGATGCGCTTTGGCTGATTATAAAAACAGACTTAATACCAACTCTGGAGGGTTTGTACTGCAAAAGGAGCTTTGATCGACAAGGCCATTCTGATGGTTTTATGTCCCCTTACCTATATGACTGATTGGTTTAAATAGATGTTACCAGAAAATGCAATTCCAGCCAAATCCGGATAGTTCTTTTGTCAAGAAATAACATTTCCAAATTTAGAGTAAGTTAAGTGGTTGCGAGGATGTGGTGGTGCTGCGGGCTAAACCGCAGAAGCCTCTGTGCTGCAGGGTCAGAAGACCAGCAGTTGTAAGATCAAATCCACACGATGGAGTGAGCTCCCATCACTTTGTCCCAGCTCCTCACCAACCCAGCAGTTCGAAAGCATGCAAATGCGACTAGATAAATAGGTACCACCTCGGGGGGAAGGTAAAATGGTGTTCTCTAGTCACGCTGGCCACGTGATAATGGAAACTGTCTTTGGACAAGCACTGGCTCTATGGCTTGAAAACGGGATGAGGACCACCCCCTAGAGTCGGACACGACTGGACTAAGAATGTCAAGGGGGACCTTTACCTTAAGTGGTTGTGAGGGATCTTTTAAGCATTCTAGTCATGTAGGTACTGAAAATGCTGTACTCAGCTGATGGGTCTGTCCACATGCTGTCAGTTACCAGAACCCTTCAAGGCTGAATCCATTCACCTGTAATTAACTGCACATTCCATGTGTATTGACAAGCACTGCAAGTTTTATTTCAGCACCAAACCCCTACTTAAAAATAATGACCTAAAAGAAAATATGAGTAAGAGTACAACAGGGTTCTACACTCCTTAGTCAAAATCAGGATTATTCTTGAAGAGATACTCCGCCTGTTAATTAAAAACAAAACAGTAACTAATTTTCTCCACTGTAAAGCTGTAAACATTGGCATTTCCCCATACAACTTTAAATAGATTGCATTCAGGCCATCAGAATATTCTGGTGTAGTTAAAGTTATGAACAGTGGCTTTCCGTGAAATAGCTATAATGGCAGATCCATTAACTAACAGGGCCCTTTGTGTGCAATTCCATTATTAAAAGGTTCTCAAGAAAAGTCAGCCTCAAAAGGTTGTTGACCTATTACAAATCCTAGTGGCAGAAGTGCAGCATTGGGGCCATCTAAGGAAAAAAAAGTAGTAGTGTCTGATAAAATTATTCATGTTGTGAAGAAGGCTGTTGGAATGTTCTTCAGCGATGATTGGAAGTCAGCACCAGCCAATAATCTGCCATAGTTCTGATGTATTTGACCCTAATGCACAATGGTTAGTGACAATGTACATTAAAGACAATTTACACTGTAATCCTCAAATATTGGCTGGTTAGATGTCAGACCTGCTGATCAGCAAATCAGGAGAAGATGTTGCCAAGTTGCTGTCCATAGACAGCTATCTTTTGACTGTTACTTGTAAGGCAAATTACCATTCATTACCACTCTAAATGAACATGCAGGATGGCACTGCTCATGATAAAAGGAATCAAGTAACCCAGCTGCAGCTGTAGAATCAGATTAACAGACATGTATTATTGAAAAACATGGCTCCATGCATTCCTACAGGAGGCTCCGTTGGGAGTCAAAAGGTGTTTCTAGGACGCTGTAAGGAATGTATAGGAAGCAGGCATCAGAGGGGAGCAGTGGAAATAACTGCGGACCTAATGGGGATATGATTGCTCATGAGGTAAAAACAAACCAATAAGGCGATTCTGTCAGGGTTGCTGTGACAAAATAACATGAACAGGATTTGGAAGTGTTTCACCAGAGTCCAGTTAGTTATATGCACCAATATTAAGGCAGTGGCGTAAACTGCAGTGACAAATTGCTGCTAGCTAGCAAGTCCCTGCTGTTGAGCAGTTGGTTGACTCAGTTCACTACAAAGGAACACAAGCAGCATCTTGTTAACTAGCAACAATTAGCTGCTACGCTTCGGATGTGAATGAGCAATATGATTCTGGCCAATGATTTACTCCATACAAAGAGCAGGCCTCAGATAGACACACAAGATGTCTGTACTTGCATCAGGAGACAGGTGAGTTTTGAGGTATTTTGTTTCTAACTTGATTTTAATGTTTATTAAATGCCTTTAGCATGAGTTTATTATGGAAAGATGGGACAGAACTGAAATGAAAGAAATAACCTTACCAGAAAGTCAACAGGGTCATCTGGCCTAACCATGCAGCATTGATTCAAGCCTTGCATAAGAGTTGGCATGACATGCTTCATTAAGTAGTTTCTCAATGGAATGGACTGAGCTTCCAGAAGCTCTTGTTCTTGTCGCTTCACTTCCTCTAGACGTTTATTCTAGAGAAACAAGGGGAATCGAGTATAAGTTATGCTTCATCAAAACACTGAACCTGGATCAGATCTGATTTTATGGTTGTTGTGGGTTTTTCGGGCTCTTTGGCTGTGTTCTGAAGATTTTGTTTTGACTTTCAAAATGATATTCCATTTCAGAGACCGTTTTTTAATGTACTTGACTTTAGGATTTGGTAAGTAAATCTAAATATGTTTCTGTTCATTAGGGTATTCCTTGGTTTAATCCTGCGTATATACAGGGCAACATATCAGGTCCCTCATGCTATTCGGTGCAGAAAATTCCATACCAGCTATGATTGTTTCATATTTCTGTTCATTAGGGTGATATAGATTATGCTGGCCAGTAATGGCTCTCCGGAGCCCTGGTGAAAGTCTTTCCGGTCACTGATGGCCATCCAGTTTTTAGTGAACTCCAATCCCATTAGTTCACATCACCATGACTTGCAGTCAAAAATAATTTGAGGTAGTCTTCTAGCAAAAAGATATAGTCCTTCTCCCTTAAGAGAAGACTGTTTAAGAGGTAGAAAACTGGTTCAGCCAGGTCTGCTTTGGGATATTTCCCATGCTAGGGAGATTCCTTGATTGTTATCATCAAGCACCCCTTTTGTCAATGAAATTGGCTAAATCTTACTATTTGCATAATACCTAGTAAATGGCTAGGCATCTGGAGGGCCTTTTGGCAGAAAGAGCTTATCTTTCTGCACAACACCTTTTTGCTTGAGGGGTGATATCTTCAAGTGTGAGAGTGCTTTGGAAAATGCTTTGCCTAAACTGTGGGAAAGACAGGCTTGCAAGGAAAGAGTCTGAAATCTGAGTAAGCTCTAGAAGCAGTTTAGGATGCTGGCTGCCTCCTTATAAACCTACTGCAGAAGCAGTGGCATTTATCTGACAGAATGTTAAACAGTAATGTTGCTTATGCTTAACCCATATATATGTAATTGAATTCATATATTATAAAATGCTGTTATGCCTCCAGTGGCCTCATTCTAAAGAAGACCCAAGCCAGGGTCAGCTCTGTACCACTAAATTCCTGAAAGTCACTTAAGAAGCCACTTTGGCTCTTCTAAGGAGAAAGGTGGGATACAGTAATAGTATTTTAAATAAAGATGTGAGGAAAATGCACACACAGAAGACTTAACTGGGTTTTTCACCTGAAGAAAACCATTAGATTTTCCAACTAGTCTTTCTCTGTTAGATCTTCAACTAGTCTTTCTCCTCCTTTTTTGTGGTGTTTCTAGAGGAGAAAGACTAGTTAAAGTTCAAATCTCATGGAAGTCCATCCATTGTGCTACTGTTGCCCCATCATTCAGTAATTTACTGAATTACTTGAGAGGAGCAAGCTGGCAAAAGGATGAAGCCATGTTGATCCGTGGGGTATAACAAAATCCACACTCCCAAATCTATGGGCAGATAATCTATTTGGATGAACTGTAAATGCACAAAATACAGTAACATTAAAGCTCTGTAGAACTCTTTGGGTTGTCCGTGTTATTTGTCACATTGCTTCTGACCTCAATAGGATAATTTTTTTTTTTGCAACAGGTCTTTTCATACCTGCATGCTTTTTGGTACATCGAGCCATACCTTCCAACTTGGAATGCTGTTTGCTGTTCTCCATGGGTCAAAATACTTAGCTGTGTATTTGAACTTACATGCCGTCCCCAATTTTTTTCAACGTATCTAACCAGATGAAGAGTTCTACAAAACTCGAAAGCTTGCATATTTGGTGCATTTGTAGAGTTCATCCTAAGCAATATATTGCCCACATGGGGATTCAGAGGTGCAGTGACAATGTCCCATACAAAGAATTCTATTTCTCTCCGTCTTTCTTCCTATCTGCAATTTACAAATAGCTTTGCTTTGGTAGCAGGTGCATGACAAATAAATCTGACTATATTATAATCCAATGTTTTGGATTAATTTACCCATTCTTCCCAATTTGCCAGTTTTTGAGCCCTTTCCTCAGCTTCTTTTTTCTCGAAATCAGCCTTTTCTTTAGCTTCTCTGGCAAGACGCTCTTCTGCTTGTTTCCGTTCAAATTCTTCCATTTCTTCCTCTGTCAAACCGTAATTTCGAGGTGCGCCAATATTTTTAATTATTTCTTTTGCAATAACTCTGTTCTCCAGACCCTCAAATTTAGATACATCTGTAAAAATTGAGGTAGAGAATTACATCACAAGGCACACATGTAGCTATGTCATATTGTCTTATTATTTTAAATGTTAGATGTTGATTTAAAATTAAATTCTACAACAGAAGAGAACAGTTTTCATCACATACTTATTTCAGTTCAGAAAGTTATTCCTGTTTTTTGCAAAATCAGATGGAAGGCCATCGTTGTTTAGTCGTGTCCGACTATTTGTGACCCCATGGACCAGAGCACGCCAGGCCTTCCTGTCTTCCACTGCCTCCCGGAGTTGTGTCAATTTCATCTTGGTTGCTTTGATGACACTGTCCAACCATCTCATCCTCTGTCGTCCCCTTCTCCTCTTGCCTTCACACTTTCCCAACATCAAGGTCTTTTCCAAGGAGTCTTCTCATGAGATGGCCAAAGTACTGGAGCCTCAGCTTCAGGATCTGTCCTTCTAGTGAGCACTCAGGGTTGATTTCCTTTAGAATGGATAGGTTTGTTCTCCTTGCAGTCCAGGGGACTCTCAAGAGCCTCCTCCAGCACCACAATTCAAAGGCATCAATTCTTGCTTTTCACGATGCTGTCCAGATTTGTCATCGCTTTCCTCCCAAGAAGAAGGCGTCTTTTAATTTCAGGGCTGCTGTCTCCATCTGCAGTGATCATGGAGCCCAGGAAGATAAAATTTGACACTGCCTCCATATCTTCCCCTTCTATTTCCCAGGAGGTGATGGGACCAGTGGCCATGATCTTAGTTTTTTTGATGTTGAGTTTCAGACCGTTTTTTGCACTCTCCTCTTTCACTCTCATTACAAGGTTCTTTAATTCCTCCTCACTTTCTGCCATCAGAGTGGTATCATCTGCATATCGGAGGTTGTTGATATTTCTTCCGGCAATCTTAATTCCGGCTTGGGTTTCTTCCAGTCCAGCCTTCCGCATGATGTATTCTGCATATAAGTTAAATAAGCTGGGGGACAATATACAGCCTTGCCGTACTCCTTTCCCAATTTTGAACCACTCAGTTGTTCCATGACCAGTTCTGACTGTTGCTTCCTGTCCCACATATAGGTTTCTCAGGAGATGGATAAGGTGGTCAGGCACTCCCATTTCTTTAAGACCTTGCCATAGTTTGTTGTGGTCCACACAGTCAAAGGCTTTCGCCTAGTCAATGAAGCAGAAGTAGATATTTTTCTGGAACTCTCTGGCTTTCTCCATAATCCAGCGCAAGTTAGCAATTTGGTCTCGAGTTCCTCTGCCTCTTCGGAATCCAGCTTGTACTTCTGGGAGTTCTCGGTCCACATACTGCTGAAGCCTACCTTGGAGGATTTTGAGCATAACCTTGCTAGCGTGTGAAATGAGTGCAATTGTACGGTAGTTGGAGCATTCTTTGGCACTGCCTTTCTTTGGGATTGGGATGTAGACTGATCTTTTCCAGTCCTCTGGCCACTGTTGAGTTTTCCAAACTTGCTGGCATATTGAATGTAGCACCTTAACAGCATCATCTTCTAAGATTTTAAATAGTTCAACTGGAATGCCATCACCTCCACTGGCCTTGTTGTTAGCCAGGCTTTCTAAGGCCCACTTGACTTCACTCTCCAGGATGTCTGGCTCAAGGTCAGCAACTACATTGTCTGGGTTGTCCGGGATATCCAAATCTTTGATGTCTGAAAAGCCAATAGCCTCTTAACATTAACAATATTTATGGAAGTTGTAGGTCAAAAATCTGAAATACCACAGATCCACCATCCCTGATTTAGTTGAATATAGTACAGCCATAGTTTTATATTGCTGTAATTTTTGTGGTGTTAGATAATTTCTTGTAGATTTTTCAGAAGTACTGACTTGTTTTACACTCTGGAAGTTTCATTTTCACTACCAGAGAAGAATAATCCATTCATTTTATTTACTGTAGTTCTGTTTTCTCTTATCATAGAAAACTGAAGAAATAAGAAACCAATGGGAGAGGCAACTATTTCAAATAATGTTTTTGAAATGAAAAACAAACTTCAGCTTATAAATGGTAAAATAATAACAATTCCATTAAACTGATTTCTCGCCTCCCTCATTTATGTTGTAGGATTTTTTTAAAAAAACTTCTACCCCTCTCAGAAACCAGCACAAACATTTGATCTGGCTTCAACTATTCCTTATCCAATTTTGATGAAAGACCGTACGTATAATAAAAAGGTTATGTAAAGGAGGGGGGTTAAGAAATCAAATTAACTTTCCAGCCTACCAATATACTGTGGATGTATTTCTAGTTCATCAAAATAGTTGAGAACTGTTTCATCCTCAGTGTTTAGTTCCCTGAAAAGGCTCAGGGATCTTAAGTATCGATCCTGAGCATAATGGGTTCCAGCAACAACACTTTCAGGGAGATTCATGATTCGATTTTTCAGGAATTCATCTGAAGCATTCAAAGAAATTATATAGTCTGTGGAGGAAAACAATTATGAGAGTTAGGGTTGTGTAACAGTCGTCTGCCAATTCAACCATTTTTTTTTCTCTTCAGGCTGTTTGTCCTCTTCTCTGTAAATTCAGGCCATAAAAGACCAACCAGGACTGGACTGGCTCCTAAGCGTTCGCCAGAATGCCAGCATTAATGAAGACCTAACATCCACTTCTATAGACACCTCATGAACCAAGCAGGGAGGCATCTCTCCCCAAAATGTTGGTGTGAGGCTCCTTGGTTTGGTTCATGGGCTGCTACTATTCCATCCCCAAATTGCAAGGAGACTGGGTAAATCAATTGAGCAACTGCCATCAGTGAGATAAGAGAGAATTGAAATCCAAAAAGTAAAAACAATGGTAATCCCCTTAACAGGAGCCCTTCTGCAGCAGATCAGATAGTCACAAAGGCTTTCTAGTATATTATATATGTTAACCAGCTCAGCAGTGCAAGAATGCCAGTGCTACCAACCAGAGGCTGTCTGTTAATGGCTCCTGTTATGGTGATTACTGTTGCTGCTTTTAGCATTTCACTTGCCTCTGGCTTTGCTGTTTATAATCCCAGTTCCATTCACTAAGTCACTCTATCATACATACAATACATGTACTCATTAAGGCAACAGCTCCAGACATTGGTCTACTGCCCCACAAAGTAAATGCCAAATAAAGTTTAAGATGCCACAGGATCTTTTACTATTTCCTCCTTTTAAGCACCTTTCTCCTCAGCCAAGCTCTGACATTAGAGGTGACTCTGGCTGGGAGACAGCATCTTAGAGCAAGGGGTTGCCAAAGGAGAGAGTTGGAGAGGGGGTCTGTACCCCTTTTGATTTCAAACATCAGACACCCTCCACCCATTCCCTCTTTTGCACCCCTATGATAGGGCAGGTCTGGGTTTAAATACATGGAACTGCAACGGTCTCAGAGTGATATTTACAGCAAACTTACCAGGGGTTATCACTTTATCATAGTGATGAATTTTGCCTCTCATATCATCCTCTTCTTCTTCCTCCTCAACTGGAATGAGAAAGTACAATCATCAAGCCTGTAATACCAACTGAGGTATATGCAGTTTGCAAAATCATGTAAAATATTTTAAAAGATCTAGGTTCACTCAGCGTGTTTTAACCTAGTGCTGATATAACTCTTGCCCTACATCCACAACTCATTGACACATGTTCCCTATCCCTCCTCTCTCCTCTTGCTCAAAAATTCCCCACCCCTTTTATAGCAAACAAGGACAAAGCATTATTTATTTGGCAATGGCATCTGCCCAGACCATGGTTACCTCAAAATGGCAATTCATAACCATGGTTGGTCACCACAAGATGGTTTGTACTAATGATTGTTGACAAAATCATGGCTGTGTGCGCCATGGTTAGCTTCAAAAATAAATTGGGGCTGGGGGAATTCACATGCCAGAAGGAAGAGAAGGAGGTAGGGTGTAGAAGCATATGAGTCTTCTTAAGTGGTTAGAAGAGCAGGCACCATATTTTCACTAGGCCCTCATTTAATATTTCTTTTAAAGACTGTGAAAATAGGCATGGGGTGGAAGTGTGTGAAATCAAAGGAAGTAAAATAATACTGCAACACAGCTGTGCTGAGAACCAATTGTATACTGTATTAGATTTGGCCTACTATACATTCACATTCACATGTAAGCAGTGACTCATCTCAGGGTATACATATCTTCCTCTCTTCTCTCTTTCATCTCAAAAGAGGCTCTACAAAGAGGGGGCAGGGTGAAAAAAGAAGTTGTGGTGTACTCTTAACTGTCTAGGAATGTGAAAAAGTAATGCTGATGTCTCGCTTTCAGTTATAACAGGCCCCCTCACCATAACAAGGAAGCCTTTTTGGGACTCTCCAACCCCCATGAGAAATCTCATCTCCAGCCAAGACTCAGCCTCTTCCTCGTGTTTTATACAAAATGTCTCTGAATGAAATTAGTGCTCTTTCCCTCTTTTGAGTTTAAACAACAAGCAGAGATTCAGATTAGGCATCCTTCATTCTCGAGAGACTATGGTAACGTGCTCTGTGTGGAGGACTCAGAATAGCATCTAGTATGGCTAAGTAAGTCAATTCGAGAGTGACCATCCCTTCCACACTGAAGACAAATACAATCTGTCCCCTGTCCAGGTCCCTGGTTTTGCTAGTTTCGGAACAGCCTCTTTGCCTCGGCTGGCTGGACAAGAGTCTCTTCAAATTGGGAGAGGCCATGATGCACCGCCTGCCTCCAGGCTGAACACTCAGATGTCAACGTTTCCCATCTATTGAGGTCCATTCCTAAGGCCTTCAGCTCCTGCTTACAGATATCCTTGTACCGCAGCTGTGGTCTCCCTCTGGGGCGATTTCCCTGCACTAATTCTCCATACAGGAGCTCTTTTGGAATCTGACCGTCAGCCATTCTCACGACATGCCCAAGCCAGTGTAGACGTTGCTGTTTCAGAAATGTATACATGCTAAAAAATTCAGCTTGTTCTAGGATTACTGTATTTGGAACTTTGTCCTGCCAGGTAATACCAAAAATGCATCAGAGACAACGCATGTGGACGTGTGCAGTTTCCTCTCCTGCCCTGCACAAAGGGTCCAGGACTCATTGCAGTACAGGAGTGTGCTCAGGACACAAGCTCTATAGACCTGGATCTTGGTATATGCCGTCAGCTTCTTATTAAGCCATAGTCTCTTTATGAGTCTAGAGAACACGGTAGCTGCCTTGCCAATGTGCTTATCCAGCTCAACATCTAGGGAGAGAATGTCAGAGATTGTTGAGCCAAGGTACACAAAGTCATGAACAACCTCCAGTTCTTGTGTGGAGATAGTAATAGAGGGAGGTGAGTCCATGCCTGGCCCATGACTTGTCTTTTCTTCGAGCTGATTGATAATCCAAAGTCTTGGCAGGCCTTGCTAAAATGATTCATGAGTTGTCGGAGGTCTTCAGCAGAGTGGGCAACAACAGCTGCATCATCAGCGAAGAGGAAGTCCTGCATGCATTTCAGTTGGACTTTGGTCTTCATTCTCAATCTAGAGAGATTAAAGAGCTTTCCATCTGATCTGTTGCAGTTCCAAAGGCATGCTTCAGCATGACAGCAAAAAAGATCCCAAACAGGGTCGACGCATGTGTGTATGAGACAGAGTGAGAGGCAGCATTGGATTAAATTGGATTGCTGTATCAGGTATAGTTGTATCAGGGAAGGGGAAGTAACTTTTCTCTCCACCATTCTGGTTCACAACCTTGGGTAATCTAGCTGTTTTTGAGCAGCAACTCACGAAAACCCCAGCTATCATAGCTGGTGGTGAAGGATTCTGAGAATTGCAGTCCAAGAATGCCTGGGTTACACAAAGTCGCAAACTACTGGTCTGGATCCATTTCAGGATTCTCCAATTACCTAAATATTTTTTTAAACAGATGCAATCTCCAATTATGGATCTCCAATGTCTTGTCTAATTTGCGCTTCAGTAAGGGTACTAGGAATCATTTATAGTTGCTTTGTGAGGCATAACTGATCAAAGGGTTACAAAATGGTGTTCTCTGACCCAAGTAATTATTGCTTCAGACAGTGCTTTGTTATGCTGCTGTTTAATGCGAAAATGAATTAGGAATAGGGCTGAGCTTATTGCGCATTAACACTCTCTTGCGCATTACTCAAAAGCCCTACAGAAGTATCTGACACCAGGGTTCATCTTGTTCTTGAGCAGAGGGAACTGGCCAGTTCTACCCTCTCCATCCTAGCTCTTGCATGTGGACAGTCAATTCTGGTTCTCCAGATGTGCAGTATCTCCTTGCAGTTGGGAACCCTGACACTTTTCAGGTTTTCTGAGAGCCTTCATAAAACACTTAGATGGAGGTGGATACAGGTATCCCACTACTTCTCACAGGTTAGAATAAACCTTGCACTGTGGGCCTAAACAAAGCTATACAGTGTTAATTTCAGGTCACAGAGGAGAAAGCAGATTCTTTGAATCTCAGGAAGCATTTTTGTCCATATTAGTCTACATATGCACTTATCTCCTCAGACTAAATCCACCTGGCTGCCATGCAAGATCTTTCAGTGGTGACTTCAGTACAATGGAATGTGGCATCCAAAGAGATGCATCTCTTCAAGCCAGACCAGTCAAGAAGGAAGAATCATAAGTGAATCTCATCCTTTTGTAAATGTTGGTACGGAGCAGCTGAGGAGAACCTTTTCCCCATATCTCTCTCCCACTGAACTTTACCCCATGAAGCAGCTATTTGCTTTGACAGGGGCAATTTACACATAGAAGATGGATAAAGATAAATGCATCCTAATAGTACAAATAACAGCTAGTATATATTTTATTATTTATTTATTTGGCTTTTACTCCACCCATCTAGATTCAAACAAATCTACTCTGGGCGGCTTACAGTCTGAGCAATATAAAACTAGAATTAAAACAGTCAATATCCAAACAAAGAAGAGAAATAAGCAAAGTTCAAGATGGGAAAACACAGGAAACTAAGTTATAGAAGGCGGGGAAGGCCTGCCTGAAGAACCAAGTCTTCAGCTTGTACTTTAAAACTCTCAGCAAGTTTTTTTTAATGCGGGTGTGCATTTTAATTAAAAAATGGCAAAAAGTAGCAGCAGCTAATCCTGTGTTTCCTGCATCATTCTTTATTCAGAATAAAGTGCACACCCCATTCCTTTGGATTTTTGACACTTGGTTTTCCTATCAATTACCACATTCTGGGGATGTTAGCAACCCAATGACAGTACCAGATATCAGAACACAGATGTGTTGTGACAAGGAACACATAAATTTCAAGGTAGTTCCTTTATCATGAAAACACTGCTCTGGAGTAACTGGGCTTTAGAACTGAAAGCAGAGCACAGCACCTTAATAACTAGCTACTGCTAGTTAATACTTACGATTAAAAAGATCCTTTGCCATATCGTAGGTCTTTGGAAATCCATCCAATACATATCCTTGGTTCTTACAAGGCATAGACATTAGTTTTTCCTTCATGAACCTAATCACATACTGATCATCTATACGTCCTAGATAGAAAGGGAGACATCCATTACATTTGATTAGCTTTATCTTTCCTAACTGGGGAAGTTAAATAAGCAAGGAAATTGATATTTCAAAGAGACCTATGCCTATGTATCTGAAAGTCAATTTGTTACATTCCACCACAGTACAAAATGTCTATGAAACATGATCCAAAAGGGAAGAAATCAGGGGTTTTAAACTCAATTTACTTGGGGGCTGCTAGAGGCAGAGTCTGGGTGAGGCTGGGCCGCATCAGATTTTCCGCCAAGCGGAGCAAGAGCCCGAGGAAGCCGCCCAGGAGTTTCCTTAGCTGACAGACAGGTGGGCTGGCTGGCAGGCTGCAGTTCTGGATGGAGGGTGCAAGAGGTGCTGTCTTGAGAGAGAGCCGGCGAGTGAGGCAAGGCTCTTTTTTTTACTCTTGACAGCAGAGGATGTGTGGGCGCTTTGGGGGGGCAGGCAAGGCGAGGGCCACAAACTATCATCTGGGGGGGCGCAAATGGCCCCCGGGCCGCATGTTTGAGACCCCTGATCTAGAGGGATAAGAGCATTTATTGTTCTTGGTCTCCCTCTAGTTGGTGCAGTGGGCTAGCATCAGGTATGGATAGGGTGTTTCCCCCTCTTCAGAACAATATAGCTACATGGAGAACTTTTTAGTTCTTCATAAACATGAATGGTACCTCATTCAGTTCTATGGTGTGGGCTATCTACTTGTGTAGAAGAGAGTTCCATTTTCTCACTGTGGACTCCTTACATATATCCTTTTACATAGGAGTGCCAAGCTATTGCTTTTAAATACTTAAGGAGACACAGAATTGAAACAAAGTTTTTTAAAAAAATGTTGTATACAGCACTGCATTACAATGAAATGCTGCTCGCCATAGTGAAGAGTGCTATACAATGTTCACTTTCACATAGGCTCTGTTCAGCAGAGCCCTCCTGCACTGTTAATTAAACACTTACTTTCAGAATCTGCCTGTTGACTGGCTTGTTCTTAATTACCTTTGAAATCATTTAAATGAGTTAATGATTTCCTTACTTTTTGATTCATCCCAGCCAAAAAAGCAAGAGTGTGTGGGTTTAAAAATTGTTGAGGGGGTGAAGGGAAGAAAAAAAACACAAAATAACCCTTTGTTCTGGATAAGGCAAACAACAACAAGAAATATGCTATCTTCCTCACAAGGACACTCGAGATGCCATACTCCATGGCTAGGGTTGCAGTGTAAATCTCACGGCCTAGCTTCATCAAGAACAAAAGAAATTTAAGGAGGATGTAAGATGTGTGTATATATCTTGGCTGCCCTTTTATTGCTTACCTGCATTTTGCTCCATGTTTTCTTTGATTGCATCCAATAACTCCTGTGCTTCTTCTACATTATCTCCTTCTTCTTCCGCTTCTTCCTCCTCTTCCTCCTCCTCCTCCACCACCACCTCAGGCTCTACTATATCTTTAGGGGCAACAATTTTTTCCTAGAGAAGAAATAAAATAAAATGCCATAAACATTTTGTCTTAACTATCCCCAAATTAAACCAATACTTTACTCTTTCTAGTGTATTTAAATAAAACGACTTGAGAACTAAGACAGTGCTGAAATTACAGTACCTAGCTTCATCAAGAACAAAAGAAATTTAAGGAGGATGTAAGATGTGTGTATATATCTTGGCTGCCCTTTTATTGCTTACCTGCATTTTGCTCCATATTTTCTTTGATTGCATCCAATAACTCCTGTGCTTCTTCTACATTATCTCCTTCTTCTTCCGCTTCTTCCTCCTCTTCCTCCTCCTCCTCCACCACCACCTCAGGCTCTACTATATCTTTAGGGGCAACAATTTTTTCCTAGAGAAGAAATAAAATAAAGTGCCATAAGCTCTTAACTATCCCCAAATTAAACCAATACTTTACTCTTTCTAGTGTATTTAAATAAAACGACTTGAGAACTAAGACAGTGCTGAAATTACAGTACAGTACTTGTAAAACTAAGTGTTACATTCAAACGTTTTGCTGCCTAAAGTGGTGTAACCGCCCACGGATGTCCCATCCCTTCTCTTACTGCATGGTGGCATCTTCTCTGAATACATATTTGCACACTTTCCAACTAATTTAAGCATATGGTTCTTCCTCCTCTTCCTCCTCCTCCTCCACCACCACCTCAGGCTCTACTATATCTTTAGGGGGAACAATTTTTTCCTAGAGAAGAAATAAAAGAAAGTGCCATAAGCATTTTGTCTTAACTATCCCCAAATTAAACAAATACTTTACTCTTTCTAGTGTATTTGAATAAAATGACTTGAGAACTAAGACAGTGCTGAAATTGCAGTACTTGTAAAACTAAGTGTTACATTCAAACGTTTTGCTGCCTAAAGTGGTGTAACCGCCCACGGATGTCCCATCCCTTCTCTGACTGCATGGTGGCATCTTCTCTGATATTTGCACACTTTCCGACTAATTTAAGTGTATGGGTAGGTATATTTAACAGCCATAATACATTGCCTTCCACTAGGGTTTAAATCTGAACAAGCTGTTGTTCTGACACATATTTAGGTTTGAAGAATAATTGGTGGGAGCTGGGACAAGCGACGGCAGCTCACTCCGTCGCGTGGATTCGATCTTACGACTGCTTGGTCTTCTGACTCTGCAGCACAGGCTTCTGCGGTTTAGCCCACAGCGTCACCACGTCTCTGGATCATAAGAATTGTTCCTGTTTATTTGTATTTAATGTGTCACACTCTTTTAAAACTATGATTATGATTATAATCCTGTACAAAATTGGCTGAGAATAAATTCGGGATTGCAAAGTAGAACTGATGCCCTGGTCTTCTTCAGTAGGAACATTCTCCTTCAGCACCTTTACTTCATTTTTCTACACCTGAGATTTCAACAACCTACAGCCTGATCTTTTTCTCAGAAGTCCCTATTATATTGGATTCACACCCCCACAAGGTGTGTACTGTATAAGACTTGCAGCTTTAGCAGTTTTATTCTCATTTATGGCAAAGTAAAAGATAGAGTATTACTCGCAGGTAACTAAACAGGATCACAGCTTCAGGCTATTTAATATTTCTGTGGTTCTGAGTGAGTAAATTTAAGAGTAGTTACAAATTGTATCCTTAGATTATTATTTCAGTGTACAATTTACCTCATCAATGAAACTAATTTAGAGGAGGTACTATTTAAGTCTGGAGCAGAAAAACACCATCCTGTGGCACCTTTTATTAGGGGCTTCACTTTGTCTGCTTCAGCAAAAAGAAACAGCTGTATTCTAGCAAAATAGATATCTCTGAATTGTAGTACATCTCTGCAGGAGCACAGAATGTAACAGCAGAAAAACATGTAAATGAACTGCAAAAGATCCGGTATGGTGATATCCCTTAAGGATTTTTGACAGTCCTGAGATAAAGATCTCAGGGAGGTGGTCAAGAAAGGTCATTTTAATTTCACTGGTAGGTGACAAGTACCTTCACACATAGATATGTAGAATGGTACTTGTAAAGTGTGAGACGGTCTTTTGTTTGTAAGGGAAAGACAGAGATCACAGGGAACTAGTGTGGAGCATGTTACCATAGTCTTTCAAGACTTAAGGATGCCTACAGGAGTATGGAGTAGTGGAAAAAGTGACAGACTAGGACTCAGGAGATTGGGATTCAAACTTATTGTATTTACAATATTTTTATCCCATCTTTCTCCTTAAAAGGAACCCATTCGGCCATGGAAAAGTCAATGAGGGCTGGCATTGGTGAAACCCCTCCTTGAAAATCTATTAGGACTGTATCAGTCAAATGCAAATTGACAGTAGGTAACATAACATGGTTCCTAGTCAATGCTGAGTTGGAATCAGAGGGGTTACCTTAGAGTAGTGATTCCCAATCTTGGGACCCCAGTAAGACTGTATCAGTCAAATGCAAATTGACAGTGTGTAACATAACATGGTTCCTAGTCAATGTTGAATTGGAATATCCCTGCATAGGTGCAGTTAATGAGGGTCCAGCCCCATGGGGCCGGACGGTCCACTCAACGATCAACCATGGACGTGAACTGTGCAATTCTAGAAATGGTGCCGCAGTGTGTGATCCGCTCGCTTCTTCTGGCAGGAGGACAAGTCTCACTGCAAGGTCGAAGAGAGGCAAGCGGATCACGTGCTGAATGGCGCCGTCCATGTCTGTGGTGGATCGGTGAGTAGACCGTATGGCCTTATAGGACTGGACTCTCATTAACGCCACATTTATGGGGATATTCGTATTCGTATATGAATACCCCCATCTCTAGTCCATAGACGTTCTTGCATTAAAACTCCCAGAAGCCTTAACTACTAACTGCGCTGGTCAGGATTTCTGGGAGTTGTAGTCTGAGCACATCTAGGGAACCAAGGTTGGAAAGCACTGCCTTAGAAACTAACAAATGCATGATAGAATAAGCTATTGTGGGCTGGGGAGCTGTAGTCCAAGAAAAAGAAAATAAAAAAAGAAGACATTTCTCACCTCTGTGTTTGACATGAACACCATGAATGTTATAGGGAGATGCCATACATTTCTACAGTCTCACTCAGTTCAGTAGAATGTATTCTCAGGTAAATGCATACAGCATTGCTACCTCAGATTGTGATTGTGATTCTTTTCACCCCTCATTATATCAGTGTTCAATGGGAAACAAGAAGTTGCGTTATTATTAGGTCAGATAATCAATCCATCCAGCCCAGCACTGTTTACTGTGACTGTGATCCCAGACATCAGCAATTCCCTGCTACCTAGCCATTTTAACTGGGGAATACGTAAGTTGTATAAGGAAGGAAGAAAACACAAAATAAACCATACAATGCTTTTGCATGCAGAAGGTTACAGGTTTATTGACGTTGTTTCCCCCGTACTTATATCTGGAAAACAAATGATTTAATGGCTTGTTGTCATCGTTGTTATAATACATCTGAGAGACGGGTAAAACCAATTCTAAAGAGTTTCTTCATCAAGTTCCAGCACAATCCTATGCCTGTCTAGTTAAAACAGGCCCCATTACATTGTGGCCTTCACTTTAGGTATATTTAAGTACATTTATGTACAATTGTATCCTAAGTTGGATTTATAGGGCACAATCATGTCACAGTTCATCACTTTTCAGCACAGCTGGTTTCAAGCTGAACTGAAGTATGGATACTATACTACCAGAAATATATTTCCACAATTGACTAAGAACACAATTATTGAAATTTAGTGTTTGCAACAGATCTCAAGATACTTCAATTAATTCAGTATTTTCAGGAGAAAAAAATATATGTTCTTTTTGTTTTCCCCCCCTGAAGGAACTAATTTAAACATCGGAATTAAAAATACCTGTGTTTCAACTTCCAGTTCAGAATTAGAAGAATAATATTCACAGTCTGGAGAGATACAATATAGTGCAATTATATTCCCATTATTGCTAGTTTTGCATTCCACTCACAGTTGTAAACAACTCAAATTACATTTGGACAATGAAAAAACCTGTAACATCAGTCACTTGCTTACCAGGTTCTCTATAGCTTTAGCAATCACATCCTTTATTTTAATGTGGTGAACCTTGTAATGTTTGCACAACAGTTCTGCAATGGAAGTTTTTCCTACTCCTGGAGGTCCAAGAATACAAATTTTGACTGGCTGAAAGAAAAGATTACAATGTGTTTTCTGGGATTGTGCAGATACTGGGTCACTGAGAAGCGCATATTGCGCTTCTATAGGACTTAGGACTGGGTGGAATACTGTAACAATGGAACATAAAATACTGATATGCTGGTGGAACAGTCCATATGTGGCACCAGAATACTGGAGTTATGGATAGAACAGGGAAGAACACATATGCCATTTTTACACTCTTCTGGACTATGGCAGGCCTTTGTTGCTATGTGGCACCAGAATACTGGAGTTATGGATCGAGCAAGGAAGAACACATATGCCATTTTTACACTGTTCTGGACTATGACAGGTACAGTTTTACATCAGGCCCAGACATCACCACTACGAGGGAAATTAGCCACTTCTCAGAAAAGGCTGTCAGTACTATCATGCCTTTGACACTGAAGCCATCCTATTAGCCACCTTCATAAATTTATCTAATATGCTTTAAAAATCATCCAAGATGACAGCCATGTTTATATCCTGTGCCAGTGAATTCCACAGTTTAACCATGTGCTCTGTGAAGAAGTGCTTTTTTAAAAAATCTGTCCTGAAACTCACTATTTAGCTTATGTGGATCACCACAAGTTCTAGCGCTGGTTTCTTCACACCTTGTAATTTCATTCACTTCAGTTATTATCACCTTACTTGGCTCTCTCCCTTTAACTAAACAGCCCCAAATATTGTAACCCTTGCTTGTAGCCCTTCATCTACTTGTGCTGCCCTCTTCACAAAACTTTTACAGCCCTATATCATCCTCTTTAGGTAGGGTAACAAGATACTGGACAGGGGAGACAAAATACATCTGCTTTTGTGTGTGTGCATGTGTGCTGGCAACAAAATTCCAAGTTAGATTTACTGGATGACTAAAATATTACCCCAAAATACGAGTTTTCAAGGCCTCCAAAACTCTTCTTCTGGCAAAAATGTTATTATATTTAGGGAACTGGCAAAGAAGCAAAAATTCTCCAAAATCTGACCAGATTTCATGGCCATTTGGGGGGAATTTCTTGGATTTCTCTCTTTCTTCTTGGTTATTTACTAAGGAATATACTGTAATGTCTACACCAGAAGAAGAGTTCTATAGGACTCAAAACTTTTATAGGATCCAGTAAAGGCATTACTCAATGCACAGAGTTGTTTCTATTTGGCTACTTTCATTCCTCCACCACCCTCACCTACTGAGGTTGGAGAGCTGCTCTGAATATTGAGATGTGGATTTGAGTCCAGACAAAGTCATATTCTTTGCTCCTATGTTGGCAGGCTGTTGCTTTTTAATGTCTGTGTCATGCTCCTGCAATAGCTTGCTTGTGCATGTTGAATAGGTTACGTAGAAATTGCTGGCTAAATGTGAAATACTTTTGGAAAGGTCCTGGCTGGTGAGGAATCTCACGACCAGGAAGAGTCAGCTAGCACTAAAAAAATCCTCTTTAGTTGAACAAATCATTAAGTGTCCACTGAAAAGAAATCGGGAATATAATTTCTAATTAACCTGCATTATTGATAAAATTTGATCCAACTCCGGGAGGCAGTTGAAGACAGGAGGGCCTGGCATGCTCTGGTTCATGGGGTCACGAAGAGTCTGGACATGACTGACTAAACAACAAAAACTGATAAAATATCCTGCAACAGTGTGATAAATTTTGATTAAATCATGGGGTGTGAGTACAGGAAGCTTTACATTCCCGCATGCTATGAACTGCTCTTTTGATAAGGAAATCCCTTTAGGCAGATGATTAGTGTGCTTTTAGCTTTTATCCCCTTTGTTTGTTGGCTATAGTGGGTGGGGCAGCTGGCCTCTCATCCCTTCTTTTGTTATTCTGTTACAGAAGACTGAAACCTTGAACTATATTATTCCGTGAGCTTTGTTAAAAAAATTGGCTCTTAAGCAAAGCAAAAGCAAAAGCAAAGTGTGTTGCTTGTATACCACTTCATAGTGCTTAAAGCAGTCTCTGGCGTTTTACAATTTTTTAATTATACAGGGTCCCATCTTGATTATAGTATTATTGTAGATTTTTTTATCTGTTTGTAATATATTGTGAGCCGCCCTGAGTAGACTTCTGTCTAGAAGGACGGGATAAAAATCCAATATTAAATAAAATAAATAAATACACATTGCCTCCCCACCACCACCCAAGGAGCGGGGTACTCATTTCATCAAGGGAAAGAAGGCTGAGTCCAGCTGGCTGTCAGTTCTGATGGAATCAAAAGCTGACCATGAGCAGAGTTTGGGCTGTAATACTACATTTTAGTCACTGCACCATGAAGTTGTTAAGGTTTTTTCTAAAGTAAGTTTATTTTTTCTATTTTATTACATAAGACTTTCAGAACCTGACAGGCAAAAGAGCAACAAATAATTTGTTTTGATTCTAAACAAACAAATTAAAAAATCTGTCCTAGCTGGGACATGTGAATTAAAATCCCTTGTAAACGAATGGATTTAGAACGGTCATCTACATTTTATAATCACCTTCTATGCTTTTCTGTCAATCATAGGCTTCTTATTGTAAATAAGAAGTTTTCATCCACCAGTGCATTCTGAAATGTTACCATAAGCAATTTTTACCAATAATCCTCGGCTTTGCTTGTACTCAGTGACAATCTGATCGATATTCTCCACAATTCCTCCTTGAGAAACCCACTTGATGTTAAAATTCTCCTTCAGGAACACAGCTTCCATTCGCAGATTGACAAGTAATTCATCTAAGTGCGCTTGCTAGTTAGAAATATTAGCGATAATATTTATCAGCAATATTCAGAAATTACTTTTCAGCATTGGATTGTGCAGAATAGCAAATATGTTATAAACAAAAAAATTGTAAGAACAATACAAACAACATTTTTTAAAATCACAACATAAAATCTAAAAATGCCTGGATGAAGAATAATAAAAAGACAACTGAGACAACAGAGAAGGTCCCACACCTGGTAAATTATCATACCTTCATGCGCAAGACATGGGTAGGCAAACTTGTACCTTCCAGATGTTTTAGAGGATAAATGCCATAAGCCTCAGGCAGCATACTCCGTGTACAAGAATGAGAGGATTTGCTATGCAAAATAATTGGAGGTCACCAGGTTGCCTACCTCTGCTGTAAGGCCTAGAAACAAACTTGGAAATAAAGATTGCTTCTGCTTGTACTCAGTGACAATCTGATCGATATTCTCCACAATTCCTCCTTGAGAAACCCACTTGATGTTAAAATTCTCCTTCAGGAACACAGCTTCCATTCTCAGATTGACAAGTAATTCATCTAAGTGCGCTTGCTAGTTAGAAATATTAGCGATAATATTTATCAGCAATATTCAGAAATTACTTTTCAGCATTGGATTGTGCAGAATAGCAAATATGTTATAAACAAAAAAATTGTAAGAACAATACAAACAACATTTTTTAAAATCACAACATAAAATCTAAAAATGCCTGGATGAAGAATAATAAAAAGACAACTGAGACAACAGAGAAGGTCCCACACCTGGTAAATTATCATACCTTCATGCGCAAGACATGGGTAGGCAAACTTGTACCTTCCAGATGTTTTAGAGTATAAATGCCATAAGCCTCAGGCAGCATACTCCATATATAAGAATGAGAGGATTTGCTATCCAAAATAATTGGAGGTCACCAGGTTGCCTACCCCTGCTGTAAGGCCTAGAAACAAACTCGGAAATAAAGATTGCTTCAGAGTAAGTATAAGTTTCAGTTCTCAGTTTATAGCCAACACTAGCCATCCTTATCCTTAGGACTCTCAGATAATAATGGTCCTATAACATATGATCCTGAAGTTGAGGCTCCAGTACTTTGGCCATCTCATGAGAAGAGAAGACTCCCTGGAAAAGACCCTGATGTTAGGAAAGTGTGAAGGCAAGAGGAGAAGGGGACAATAGAGGATGAGATGGTTGGACAGTGCCATCGAAGGTACCAACATGAATTTGACCCAACTCTGAGAGGAAGTGGAAGACAGGAGGGCCTGTGGTCACAAAGAGTTGGACATGACTTAATGACTAGACAACAACAAACATAAAATATGGAAACCCTAAACCTTCCACCCCCCTTAAAAGGTTCTCAGGATTTATTTAATTTTCTTTCTCACCTTTTTTGTTCATTAGCAGTTTGTACAGTTTAAATAATCATGTGGTAAAACTTGGGATCCTACTTTAAAACATGCAGACTGACATTTCATGAATCTTTAAAAAATATGTATATCAATTGCTTCCAGACTCCAGTCGGGATGGGGACCAGGGAATGATGAATATTGACTCCTGTCCTCATGAATATTTATCCCAATTGGCTATATGTATCACAAGGGATGGAATTTACTACTACCATTTGTTCCTCAAAGTAATGCCAGTCTTAAGTAATGGTCTGAGCTGTTTTAGCAGAAGTTTTTCAGAAGCAGAAATCAGTACCGTGAGATCTTTGTTCAGGAAAGCGTTGTCTTTCGGAACCTTCTGTATTTTTCCTGGGCCGACGTTTTTGCTGATACACTTGTAAAGGGAAACATGGGTTAATTTTAGATTCAACGTTAATAAATGACCAACATGCAGCAGGAAGAAACTTAACAGCCTATAAATTGTTTCATGCTATAGGGCCATAACAGGATGAATCAAATGTTAAGCAGATGAGTGGTAACAAAAATGGCATCATGTAACAAAAAAAGACTTCAGAATTGTTTTTGAATACGACATCCTATTTGTTAACACCAAGCTGCTGCAAATTTTGGAATCTGGGTCCGATGGCACCTTGACTGACTCTGTTAGTCACTCCCAACATAAATCTGTTAAGGTTAATGGCATCTTTCCAAAATAAATCTTTTAGTGTTAATGCATAACATGACTCTTTGTTACCTTTTATGCTAGGCTTATGAGGCCCACTACCTATTTTTCTGTATCCTAAAAATGACAGCATGTTATTATGTACCGTCATTGGCAGGAGCATTTCAGGTTCCAGATCTGAGGCTCCAGAAAATTTAAGAGCGCAGCAGTGTGGCTGTCAATCTGTGGCCTTGAGATATTATGTTTAAAAAGATAAACAGAAAGGCTGCTTGGCTCCCTCATCTATACTAGACACCCCCCCAAGGTTTGCCCTTCTTCTGATTTGCAAATCTCAGCAGATGCTACCAGAACCTAAACAATTTAAAAGGTTATTTATTTATTTAGATCAACAAGTATGTATTTCACCTTTCCAATTAAAATGGTCAGGAACAAGCAATCAAGATTGGTTCTGTAATTTGTTTTTATGGACTTTGAGAACTGACTTATCACAGAGGGAAACATAGCAGGCAAAGTGCTTTACCTTCACCATTTCACCCAGAGTTTCCATGGCTTCATCCACTGCAATTAGGTAATGAGTCCTTGGTCTGTGATCTGCTACATTCTGTAACACTCTGCAGTGGGACAAATGAATGACACACAACAAGAAATCAACCTCCGTAAAGGGATGTACAGAGATCATGCAAAACCCAGTGCCCACACCTCTGCAGACAGAGGTGAAGGATTTTTGGTCATGTACTTTTTTCTCCCTTGTAGCCTTATGAAGGTCTGCTCCAGAATAGCATGGGACTTGGTAATCAGCAGCTGTAGGAGGAGGTTAAGGAAAAAAAAAGGGGCCTTTCTCATATTTCCATCTGTGGAAACCTTTCCAGTAGTCTTCCCTAACCTGGCACCCTCCAGAACATCAGTTCCTATAATCCATCACCACTGGCTAAATTAGGTAGGGCTGATGGAAATCTCAATCAAAAGCATCTAGAAGGCATGAAGTTAGAAAAGCTGCTCTGTTGGACCCAAGCTCTATGTCAAAGAGTCCTTGTCTTCTTCCATTTGTAAAAAAGTATCTAGGGACGTGGTGGTGCTGCGGGCTAAACCACAGAAGCCTTTGTGTGCTGCAGGGTCAGAAGACCAGCAGTCATAAGATCGAATCCACGCGACGGAGTGAGCTCCCGTCGCTTTGTCCCAGCTCCTTGCCAACCTAGCAGTTCGAAAGCATATAAATGTGAGTAGATAAATAGGTACCACCTTGGTGGGAAGGTAAACAGCATTCCGTGTATAGCCGTGCTGGCCACGTGACAACGGAAACTGTCTTC